CATTAAAACACTAATAAGTGTCTCTCACATTTCAAGTAGCTTTTCTCACATAGTCATCAAAATTATGGACAAAATCAAAATTTTATCATTACTAGAGTCAAAATTTGAATAAAAAAATTGCATCATATATACAAGCACATATATTCATATACAATAGGATATCTAAGTTATATATATACACAAAAATAATAATAAATATTAAGGTTAATTACAACAAAAATAAAAATAAAAAACCAAAATTTAACGCTTTTTTCTTTAAACCCTAAAATTATTTCCCGTTACCTTAAATAGACGAAGATGGACAGAGGAGAGGGCAAAATTAAAACATTGGAATTTAAAATTAAAAACACGTTAAACTTTAGAATTTTTTTTTTTGTAATTAACCAAAAAAAAAAAAACAAAGAAAAGAAAGAAAGAAAAGTACAAATAGAGAAGAAGAAAGTAGAGTGTGAATATAATGGTGGTTAGAAAGTTGTCGCAAAAGCATTTACTAAAAAATAAAAAAGTAAATTATAAATACACTTTTGAAGTTTGCTTAAAATACAAATTGTCCCTTGTGATTTAAAAAATTACAAATATCTCTTATTAGAATTTTTTTATTTAACAGAATTAATTAAAAAATGAAATTCATAATTACTCTCCTATTCAATAATAAAATTACTTAAATTATTAATTGAAACATATTTTTTACACCCAAAAAACTATTAAGTAGGCCTCCTATTGTACCCTATTAAGGACAACATATATTAAATTTTAAAATTAATTTTTTTTTTTCATAATATACCCTAATCACATATACGTATTATTCATCTTCTTCCACAAGTTTAAATTGTTTTCTCTTATTCTTCTTCCTCACTACAAAATCAAACAATAGATGAGAATAATAATAAAAATCATTTTTTGAAACAACTCATCAAAGATGAAATACATATTTTCATAAATATAACGATACAATTCTTGATTTATATATATATATATATATATTTACGTAACAAAGTCATCAAGACCAGGCTCAATTGATCTTAGTCACTAACAATTTTATCTAAGTACTCTATTATATCTTCAGTCCACCTAGTGGAAGAATCACTGTTGTTATTCTGAGAACAGTAGCTTCTAACAAAATTAGGATTCTTTATTGTAGAAGATTGCCTAACTATATGGAAAGCTGAGATAAAATCATTGGGCACATTTGTAGATGAATCAAAACTAAGACTCTTTGTAATAGGATGGGCAGAGTTGAAAAGATATATCTAGGGCACAAAAGACCCAAAAGACGAATCATAGTGTGGCCCTATACTAGTTCACTCTGCCGAACAAAGACAACATATTTGAATCTGAAAGTCCGAATCAAATAATATTGTTCGACATTATAAATCTAAACATAACTATTTTATTTTTATTTAAGTGTACCTTGAAAGGTAAATTAGAAAAAATTATATGATGTACTTAGACTAACATAAAACCCTAAATAATTTGACATAATGTACTGAGAAATGAAGTACTTAAATTTTTTTTGGGTACAAATGAAATCCCCTTACGCTGTGTTTGGTTGGAAGATTTGAAGAGAGATTTGAAAAGGGAAAGAAAAAGAAAAAAGTTAGATGAAATGTGAATAAAATATACCTATATTTCACCTAGTTTCACACACCTTTTTCCTTTCCCTTTCTAAATCCCTTCCCAAATCCCCCAACCAAACACAGTATTAGAGAATGGCATATAGCTCTTTTATCCTTGAAACCAGTCCGGTCCAAACTTGTTGGGCTTTTACCCAAACAAGGCCAAAATAATGAACGGGCCAGCCCAAGTAAAACTGGGCCTTGAATTTGAAATAGTCCGGCCCAAGCTCATTGGGCTTTTACCTATACCAAGCCCAAATCTTGGGCAGTTTGGCTAAAGTGAAACTGGACATAAAATTGGAGCTTGAAATTGAAACCCAACCCAGCCCAAATCTTGGACTGGCCAGCCCAAGTGAGACTGGGCCTTGAATTTGAAACCCAACCTGGCCCAAGCTCATTGGGATTTTACTCAAACATTGGCCAAATTCCGACAAGCCAGCCCAAGTCAGATAGAGCTTAGAATTGGGCCTTGAACTTGAAACCCAACCTAGCCCAAGTTCATTGGGCTTTTACTGAAATAAAGCCCAAATCCTGGACATGCTAGCACAAGTGAGATTGGGCCTTAAATTTGAAACCCAGCTCAGCCCAGCCCATGAAAAATTATATATTAAAAAAAAAGGTGAAGAAAAATTATTTAAAAAAAGACGCAAATCAAGGGTTGGAGGCCAGGGCACAAGCCCATAGAGGCGGCCTATTGGCCCACTCATACGTCCACCATGCGAGCTCAGCCTGCAGCCCAATCAAAAAGGCTTCACACATTTTCAATTTTCTACACCAAACAAGCCCATTATCAAGTCACGGAAGAATGGTCCATAAAATAATTGTGCTGATCTCCCTCATGAGCTAAAATGAACGTCTTTCAGGTTTAAGGTTTGCCTTACTTGACCATTTGAAACATGACAAGTCACTCGAAAGAAGAAAACAAATAAACCAATTTGATTTACTTCCAAATTTTAAATTTCTTATCAAAATCTTAGCACACAGGATATTTTATCCTTTACTTTCACTAACATCAATTCGTGTGGCAAACTGGTCTATGCCAGTCCTATTTTGCTATTTTGTAGTCTTAAGAATTAAGCCCGGCATAAAAACAGATGAATAAAATAAATAAGCTTCGTATAAGTGAAAAATTAAACACACAATTAAGTAAAAAATTAAACACATAATTCGGTTTGAATTGCAGCATGCTTGTCATTTCATGTAATCAGCAAAAAAATCGATAAATGTAAACCAACATTATAACATGATATGGACACGAAAAAGCAAAAAAGGAAGAATCGAACAGGACAAACTACAAATTGTTACATGCCACCATTACAATTATGACTGATACGAAATGCACAGTTCAAATACGAAATGCAAATCTTTTCCAATCAGTTTATGATATGCTCTTACATAAAATATTTGTGCAATTATAAAACAAGAAATCATTATATATAGTAAATGTTAACAAACACCTCACACCTAATTAATACACTACGTATTGGTTTACTCTCAATGAGATGATTCATAATTAAATGTCATCTGCGGGATCAACTGAACTCACTGTGATCTTAAAATCTGATCTAAATATATTAATTAAAGAAGAAAATTCATATGCAACAATAAAAGCTGAGAAATATTCCTTGGAACAGATTATAGTACCTTGGGCCGCTCAATAGAGCTTCCAAAATAACCTATTCCAAAAGACAGGGAAGTGTAGGCTGCTGCAATCTCTATAGGTTTCAGCTTAGGTGAAGTCCAGGGAAGCTAAATAAGAAACAAACAAATAGTAAGTCATTTTTTTTCCTTTAAAAAACCATTAAGGTTGAGGGTTGGGAGCTCTCACTGTTATAGAAGCCTTGGCTTAAACAACTAGAGTTCGGGCACTTTTATCAGTACCGTGCTGGCTACTATCTGGCATAACAGAGCGTAAAACTTTCATGCAAGCAGAGCCCAGACCTGCCTGCGACCTGTGCAACAAAAAAAATAACCCATGTTAGATTCACAAGCTGAGGGTATACATAAATGGAAACAAAGAACATGATTTTTGTAGGTTTAACACAAATAAATAATGAAAACTAAATACATAGAAGAAAGCTTTAAACTAAAAAAAAATCAGAAAAACATGAAGACCTTTACAAAAATATCCCGCTATTAAACTAGCCCCATACCAAGAAAATATAATGTTCCTTGTAGTAAAAGATAAATTAAAATTGCACGCTTCTAAGATACAATTTTCTTTTTTCTTTTTTCTTTTTCTTTTTTTTTCCCCCTTTCTGTTCATTATACTTCCCAAAATAAAACAAAATAACATTTTTGAATGACGAGGATACATACAGTGATGATAAGACACAGCACTCCCAAGCAGCAAATCCTTTCATTAACTACTCTCCAGCACCACTAACGCAACAACCAACTATAAATGGAGCCCCAAATGGACCTTTTGAGGATGTCTAACAACCGGAGCCATACATTGCTGCTTATCCCACACGTCCAGTTATCCGTTAAAAATATTTGAAGAATAAATTTCAAGTTTAACTGAATAATGATCCATTTTAGAAATGATGTCATGCAAATTTCAACTTTCAGGTGTGAATTGTGATCAACAGAGGCATCAAATCTAAATAAAAGACAAGCCAGAAAAGCATTGAAAATGAAAATGAAAATGATGCCAAATGGGCCCTTAGAAACTTGATTAACTTCATCAAATGAACTGGCTACCCAATAACCACTTCAAGGTTTCATTCACAACCAAGAAAACCATTTCTTTTGCATGGTTGTTTGGAACTTCGGAGGACAAAATGTCATAGAGGAACCGAATTTTTTTTTTTTTTTTAAATCAAAGCCTCTGAATCCCCCTCCTCTCTCTCTTCACACACACACAACTTCATACACCAAAGCCCCCACCAAACCGTCAATGGCCACCAGTCAACTCCTCCCACAGAACACCAATTCGACCACCATTGCCATACTTGGGTTAATTAAATAAGAACACTAGAAAAATAATGATACAATTTAAGGAATTGAGACAAATAATATAGAAACTCTTTGCATATATAACAAGAAAATGCCACAAAAACAAAGCAGATAATCACCTTCAGTGCAATGCCACCACTTGAAGCTCCAGATGCTATATGTCCTTCAGTGTCAACACAAATAACCCCAACAGTGTCCATAATGCAGTCATCTCCACATTCAACGTACATAATTGACCATGATCTCCATTTGTGTTCAAATGATCACATGGTAGAACTCTGTTTGTGGAACACATGCAAAAACATTCATAAATTAAAAATAAACTTTAATAAAACAGCCAACCATAAAAGAGAGAGAGAGAGAGAGAGAGAGAGCCCAAAATTTAAGTGAAAGTACAAGTATCCAATAATAACGATCATAGGATAAGTTACATGAGATCACAAGATGAAAATTTTCAGGAGAAACAAGTTTACCAAATAAGTGAAAGATTCACAAATGTAAAATTGGTTTTCAAATGCTCTAGCTCAAAGCAACCTTTTAAAGGCAAGAACCAAGGAAACAAATTTCCGGTGTTATCCAAGGAACCAAAATTACAATCACAACTGCAGGAACAAGATCCTTTCACTAGAAATATCACTTGGCAAAAGCCACTTTGCTGGAACAAGTTTCTGGAATGACCTTGATTTGAATGTGTCTTTAACAAATGCAGGCAACATCTTGAAGCAAAGCCAGAAACATGTAAAAAGCACTTGCACAGGTTATGTACCAAATTAAACTGAATTTATTTATTTATTGGTTTTGGATAAAAAAAAAACAACGCCCAATAAGTACACATTAATGTGTGTTTGGGAGGGGAAATATTCAGTACACACCTAACCTTTAGCATAATATGTAAAGTGGTGGTCCCAAGACTTGAACCCATAACCTCAAGCTATGGTCGTGGATACCAAATAAAAAATGAAATTGACATATTTAGCATGAACATCCTCCTCTCTCAAACATATTTATCATGAAACAAGTAATTGACATATTCAGTTATGGTACACCACTTAATTATTGCCAACTTTGGGAGGAACGGGAATGTTCTGTTTAAAATCTAAATGGCATGGAATACCTGATACAGCAGCATCCTCTTGAGTGCTAGAAGAAAGTTCTCCATCAATTTCTGCTTTCATGGCTTCTGCATCATCAAGCATTGATTTGTATTTCTCCCAATGTCTTTTTACCCTCTCTGTAACCAGCCACTGTTTCCAAAAGATGCACAACAACAAGTATGATAAATAATTCTAGAATAAAGAACAGATTACTAAAGAAATTTAAAGCCAACGTATTCAAGAAAAAATATTGATATATAGGGAAATGGAAATTTAGACAGATAGGACAAAAAACTAGGAGAGTTTACCTCATCAGCCTCCAGTATACCTGTCGGCCAAGAAATACCCTTGGATTTTGCCCACATACATGCACCTTCACCAACCAAGAAGCTAGAAACACAAAAAAATGCCTCATAAGAAAACAAAAATCTGAGGGAGAACAAAAATCCAATTTGACATGATGTTGAAGTAAGAAACTAATTTATCTCCTCAATAAATCATTTCTTTCAGATTTTGAATTAAAGACCAAATCACTGTAACTAATTTCACCCATTACCCTTCATGGTTTCACTTGATTTGAGTTTTACAAGTACTAAACATGTGTAGAAGGCAGATTCATATTCACTATTCACATATAGTATGCATTACATAACATCTCCAACAAAATAATGTTGCACTACTCATAATTCCCAATGAAAAATCCACAAGACATAAATAATAAGTACTGTGACAATGCTGCCATAAAGAGGTAATTTGTATATCAAAATTCAAAGATAAACACAGGTGTAATCATATGTGGGAGGTATTCGACCCAGTAGTGCTAAACCCAACATTTTTTCCTTGGCCAACAAAGCAGCAACTTGGATACCATTCCGGACACCTACTAATTATTAACTTCACAGAAATGAAGAGCATAAAATGAAAATGAAAGCTCCATAACATTATCAAAGCCAAAGAACAGAAGAAATTGAAGCTCGCAACATAAAAACTTATTTACTTATTTAGAGTATGGTTTCATTAATTATACTTCAGGAATACCTAGCACCGCTCCAACAGCCCCAAATGCCCATAATCACCATCCATGATACTGGCATCACATTCCACGTGACCTCTTCAGTCAAATTTGAGCCAATCCCAGCATT